CCCCCCTCCACCTCTTCGGAGATCTTTGGATCCCCCTGAATTCCTCTACCCAGGGAGCAGTCAAATTGTAATGCATGGTGTGCATCAGAGTAACTGTGGTTACTACAGTTTGGACACATTAAAATGATTGTTTGCATACGTTCCAACCCTCCCCATTCGATCGTGAGTCTTCCGAATTAACATGCAATACTCCCCTGGTTTTGTCAAATTCTCCCGAATTTTCAGAAAACAACATTTCTGTGTAAATATTTCTTTTGTGTGCCGACTTTATCTACAATGTCAGCATGCAAAGGCATTCAGAGTGTTGAACACCTCGAAAGTTCAGAACGCATACTCTGAAAAAAACTTAGATTTCCAACATTTCATGGGTGGGGCACGTACACAGTCTCACGAAGCTTGTGTTGGAACGTCTTACATACAGACCCACCACAGTGTAAAGACAGCATTCATTAGACAAGACTCTGACTGAAAAAAAATAAATAAACGAACGAACTAACGAACAATCGAACAAACAAAAAAACAAACACACAAATAAATAAATAAATAAATAAAACTTACATCAACATATCATTATGTTTTTTTTTTTAACGAATAGAACAATTTTGTTTTAGTGAATAGGTACAGAGCATCTTTCCTTTTTTCTTTAAATATCATTTCAATTTATAGGTTAATAAGTATTTGTTATAAGTATAATTATAAACTACACCCTATTTATCAGGAACCTTCACTTGAATGATATAGGTTATTTGTTTAAGTAAAATTATATCAGGTCATTTTTTAATATCTTTTAGACATACATGCTCCTCTTCCCCCCACATTGAAATTAATCTAAAATTATTTATATGTTAGTTAGATAGTTCTTTATTTATTTGTTTCACACTCTCAGATTAAAACAGAGACCAGCCAATTCTGGTTTATGAGTGAAATACAGGTCATTTTTAAAACCCAAGCAAAAACACGATTAAAAATGTTTTAAAAAATGTACAAACATTTCTTAAAATATGATTTACTTAAACACAATAGACTGCCGTAAGGAGAGGATTTGGTAGGCAAATTTAGCTACCCTATAACAGTGGTTGCCATCGCTCATTAAAAAATTTAATTTGTCGTTAGAGTTTAAGTCTGCAAAGGATGGGTTGATTTTGACAATATAATCGTACAGGTGGGATCTGAAATCATTATATTCATTCAGTAAAGCAGTGTACAGTAATTCATTTTCTACGCTATTCAAGTTGCACAGACTGCATTTTCTATCATCAACCGGAATATTGTTATAGCGCCCTACTTCAATTGCAATCGGGGCGCAACTTGACCTAAAGAGGGCTAACGCTCGCCTATTACATTTCTTCAGGAAAGTGGTTACATAAGTAGCTGTTCCATAAATGGATTTAAATGAATGATAAGTGCGCAGATTATTGCGCGAAATTTGGATTCTTTCTGCGATCACTGAAAATGGATTCTTTCCAACGGTTTTCTACAAACAATTTAGCTGCGCTATGAGCTTGACTTACCAAGATACGAGTATTTGTTTGTTCTGCGTCACTTAGAATTTGTTCACAGTCCATTTTGGAGAACAACAATTTAACTTTATGACACCAGTTTTTAACATTGTTATTTGCTAAATGTTGGGATCAACTGGTATTCATCTAGTTTTGAAAGACGGCACCACAATCTAGCTATAGACTGCATCTGACGCACTACTGGGGGATCCCAACCCATGTCATCAAGCATAGCGTCGTTTGGAGTATACTACCAAACACCACTACAATAATCCAAGATCGGGCAAACAAGAGACTCAAAGAGTTTTGTATATGAATTAAAGTTGATACCTCCCAGAGCCTTATCTTTACTAATAACAACAACAAGTGCACGAGAAGCAGACGCAGCCAGCATGCTGGCAGATACATACATAAGGATCTAAGAATTCATCAAACCAAATGCCGAGGTACTTATAACCATTAACAATATCAATGTTGAAAATACAGCAATTAAACTGTTTATTAGTTTTTTGACGATTTTTTCTGCGAAAATGGACAATTTGTGTCTTAGATTCATTTAGGCTAATGCGTATGTATGTATGTATGTATGTATGTATGTATGTATGTATGTATGTATGTATAAATACAGTAAGTAAACAAAACTTTGTTAATTTTTGTTAGACAAATTCCTGCAAAAAAGTAATTTAAACTTATTTAACAGCAGCATTAAACAAAAGTATTTTATGAAAAAAAATTTACATAATTTTACCATTGTGGGCTTATTTTACCCACCCTGTCATTTGGGGCCATTTTTACCGAAACCGTTTTTTAAGGGTCGTTTTACACCGAGGCTGCTTTTTTTCTTCTGGGGTCATTTATTCTGGGGCTATTTTTGCTGTACACCAAGTGTAGTTTTTCATAGGATGCATGGTGTTTTGCGAGAGAGAGCTTATTAAATTCCAAATAGTTAGCCAGATATTTGCTATATTGCTTGTATTGTATATTTGAAGAAAAGTCAATAGGAAGATGTCCATACGGATACTATGGTACGGAATGTCATTTGACTTGCCACTGCAATCCACATATTCGGTGTGTAAAGAGTTCTGGTTCGTGTGGGCGTTATCCTTGTGCAGACGGATGGGCAGGGTTTGCTTGCCAAGAAGGTATGTTTAAAAAGATATAGACCTTATGATCATTCGAATTAAATCGTGTTATTTTGCTAATGCCAATTTGGGCATACAAAGTAGCGCAGTTTAATTATAAAACTGACATTAAAAGAAGGCGACTGACCTATAAGGCTAGTGATTCTCTATAAACGGGTATGATACGCAACTAATTGCTTATTAACTTCGCCTCTGAAGGAATAGGCGAGGCTTTTACAATAGCACACGTCTGTCGGTCTGTCTGTGTGTCTTGTGGTGTGTTTGTTCTTCCTGACGCATAATTCAAAAGTTACTGGACCGATTAACCTCAAACGTTAACACATTGACGATATCAAGCCCGTAGCCAGAGGGGTTCGAGTGGTTCGAAAGAACCCCCTTTTCAATAAATAAATTATTATTAAAAATTACAATTTGCATAGAATGTTGTTGACATTAACTCAAAATATTTGAAATTTGGCATTTTTATTGCCATTTCCGGACATCTAATGTATATATCCTTAACATTTAACCTACCCATAGTGGACCGATGTGGGTAAGGTCTCAAAGTTCCCTTTTGTGAACATTTAGAACCCCACCCCCTTCCCCTTTTTAAAAATCCTGCCTACGGGCTTGGATATTACATATACCTCTTTCCTCCTCGAATTTGGTGCTGATCGGGAGTAAGATGTATATTTTAGAACGTTATTTATATATTTTTTGGTCGCAAGTGACAGAGCCAACTCGACCAGATCTTTCGACAGAGTCATTTGGCTAAGCAGAGGCTGACTCTAGCGGATCGACCGCGTGTCAAATTCTGGTCGGCGGACTGGCAGCAGTCCGGACAAGGTGTCAGCTCGATTGATGGGCTTGCCACCTGAGGCTTTTGAGGCTAGGCCTTGATTTGTGGATGGGTTGGAGAAGTAAGATGCAGATTTTAGAATGTTTTAAATAATTTCCGGCCGTATATCTCACAATCTGCTGTCCAAATTTTATAGAAAAATAATAATTGTGAAAAATAATAAAATATGAAAAAAATTCTATAGATGTACAAATAATAATAATAATAATAATAATACTTATTATTATTATTATTATTATTATTATTATTATTATTTATTTATTTATTACTACTACTACTACTACTACTACTACTAATACTACTACTACTACTACTACTAATAATAATAATAATAATAATAATAATAATAATAAAATAATTTAAAAAAATACAATAGGGATATTTTCACCCATTATATTCAATTAGCTTTACACATAATACATGCACCTTTACCGCTCGGCTAGACTTATGGTAACATCACATCCTTAGCAACCACCAAGAGATCGAGCGAATCGACAATAGATAGATATAGCGCAACAGGGCGAGTATTTGTAATTTTAGGTTATCTTGTCGATATTTGTTATTGGTATTGTTGTTTATACTACTGCTACTACTACTGCTAGTACTACTATTACTACTACTACTACTACTACTACTACTACTACTACTACTACTACTATTACTACTACTAACTAATACTACTACTACTACTACTACTACTACTACTACTACTACTACTACTACTACTACTACTACTACTACTACTACTACTACTACCACTACTACTACCACTACCACTACCACTAATACTACCACCACTACCA